GGTCACAAACAGATAGTCCCGCACCAAACGAATACTATTCATTGTGCATAAACAACAAACAAACCAGAACACTTGCATCGTTTAAATATATTGTGTGTATATTGTGTACATTTTATATTGTATATTGTGGGAAACTTTTGCAACTTAAGAATTTCATTGCATGGTGTAAATCTGTGCATATGACAAATAAACATCTTGAATCTTGAGAAGGAATCAAACTAGAAATGGCTTGTAGTCGCCTCCTCATTTTAAGTTGGGATACATTTACATGTATACATTTTGCATAAACTATAATCCAAAGCAATTTACATTGCATTTAAGACATGCTTATTTTAATCAGTTTGTGCTTATGCACTAAAGATTAAGCTTCAAAGAATTACTGTACAAAAGTTTGGGGCAAGTATGATGTTTTTGAAAAAAAAAACTGTATACTTTTATTCAGCTAAGTATGCATTCAATGCATCATATGAAAATAATGACTTAAAACTGTTACAAAAAAAATCAATTTTGATTTTAATTTTGATAAATTCATATTTTGAACTTTCTTCTCATCAAAGAATCCAAAAAAATAGTATCTAAGCTTTTTTTTTTTTGGTAATGTATCATTTGTTCAATGATGGATTTGATTCCATGTGATAACTCAAACTGATAAGATGTATACTGTTAACTGCTGTTGATACCAATATTTGAAAAATAAATACATGCAGATGAAAATGGCCTTAGTCCTTAGTGGATTGAAAAGAAAGTAAGTGGCACTGCTCACAATTTAGAGCCCAAATCATCTTCTTCAGCATTACAAGAACACTCTGCAACCTGGTTCCTCACACCAAAGGCTGACTGGTAGTCGCCACTGATTAATGCTGGTTAAGATTACTCAAAAGATTACTCATTATAACATAATAAAAGTACAGATGCAATTACTCCAACAACTATTAGAGTCTGTACCATTATGGATGTGTCTGGAGGATCATTTAAAGGGATCCTCCACCCAGAAAATGAAAATGCTGTCATCATTTAATCACCCTCAAGTTGTTGCAAACTTGTTTGAGTTTCTTTCTTCTGCTGAACACAAAGGAAGATATCTTGAAGAACGATTGGAATTTTGGCACCATTGACTTCCATAGTATTTTTTTTTTTCGACTATGGAAGTCAATGGTGCCAAACAACTGTTTGGTTTCAATCGTTCTTCAAAATATCTTCCTTCGTGTTCAGCAGAAGAAAGAAATCCATACAGGTTTGCAACAACTTGATGGGAAGTAAATGATGACAGCATTTTCATCTTTGGGTGGAGTATCTCTTTAAGAGAGAACGTACTATTAATTTGCCAAAGAAGACAAAAGTGGAGCATGGTAAATGTCAGGCCCATGCACTTAAACTAGCGCCATCAGCCAATCATAAGGAAACGGAACAGTTGTGTAACACAAATGATCAGGTACTGTGAAGAAGAGACATTTCCAACTGGCCCTAGTAGTGAAGCAGAAAGAACAAAGACACTTACAAACCCAACTCATCCCGGATTTAAAATAATAATGAAATAATGAAATCTATATTTACCCCAACGTTCGACTCCACAGAGGTGTGTGTTTGGTGTCTGTCTTTGTGTTGGGCCTTTGTGTTTTATTTGTAACCCATGAAGAGACATACATTTGAATTTGGCTACTGGTTCAAAATAACAATTCAGAAACCTCTGAATGAGTATATGCTGCATGTACTGTATGTCCTTGCAGTGAAATGAACAACATTTTAACAAACTCCAACTTAACAATGCTGAAGAATATTTCATAAGCACCACACAATAGGTGTGGTGCGAAGAGCAGAGATGTTGAAAAAAGGTCATTCACAGACAAACCAGTAATTAACCCTTATGTCTTTATTCATCATCTAATTGGAAAATACATAATGCAAAGGTACTTTACAGATTACTTGATTTAAAAAGTAATTAAGTTACTTTACAGATTACTTGATTTAAATTACAGATTACTTGTAATTACAGATTACTTGTTACTTCCGGCGCATGTGCAGACCGAAGCACCCGTGCCATCAGATCATTTTGTCATGGCTATGATTACAAGAGGTAAAAACGATATAAATACTGTTTGTTTTCTCACGAAAACCGCTCGTTTCGTGTCTTAGGCCATCAATGTGTACTTACATATACAAGTCATTAAATCATGTTTAATTTTGACTTCTGTGCATGCTTTTTGGTGGACCCCCTTAGCCTCCAGTGTATGACTGATAGACAAGAACGGTTTGACTGAAAAATGTCAAAATTGAAAATACTGTGGAAACAAAGACATCTACATCTTGGATGCCCTTGAGGTAAGCTAAAACATATCAAAAATTTATTTCAAAGTGAACTATCCCTTTAACCATCGTGTCTCTGAGCAGTTTCGTGACAATAAGAGACTTTAAAATACAATTTAGGGAAATACATACTTCCACAGTAGGCTTAAATAAAATTGCCACTGAAATATTTTTGAATGTTTACAAATATAGCCGAAAGAAATTCAAACTTTAACACATGTAAACCGTATCCGGTGTAGACTATCTGGCACTTTCAAGAAGTTTAGCCTTTACCACTCCTGCAAAACTGACAGATCTAAATAAATAAAGCCTTGGTTCATATCAGAGCAGCACCATCATCAAGCTGTTCAAGCTCCAGCGTTCCCCAAACCTCTCACTGAGTTTTATGGATCCAATTCCAGGTGCAGATATTTAGGTGTATTTCACTGCCAGCGTCAGTCCCCATCCATCCACCAGTTAGAAAACCAGCTAAGTCATTGCTGATGGAAGTTGTGTGAAGTCAATTTAGTATGATATCCATATTCATAAATCCTCCCCCTCTCATTTCTCCGAGAGAGATCAGAAAGCACTAGCCAACTTCACAAAGGCCTCGACGAGTGAAATTTACTGTGTGATTATATACGACAGATATACATTCTCAGCCAGACGCAGTTATTGATGTCGTAATGAGTGATTTCAGCAGGGATCATAGTACTAAAGCGGATATCAAAAAACGACAAACCAAAGAATGTATGCTCAGTCAAGAACATTCACAAAAGAGAAGCAATGACGGGAAAAAAAAAAATGAACACACGAGTCATGTGACCTGTGGACTCGTAGGATAATATTGTACCTGTGAGGTTCTTAAGGCCGAGCTGACGGAGACCGAAGTTGCCGTCTCTGCGGTAGTTGAGGAATACAGCCAGGGCGTAGCGGTCTTCATACAGCCTGGTGCCGCGGACGATGCGAAGATTCTCCAGGGGCAGATATTCAAACTGATTTAGAGCCACAAGCACATAGCCCGTCACCTCACGAATGGACTGCAGACAGAATAAAGCACAAATATCAATCAACAAATATTGACCAACCAATCAACTGGAACTTCTGGAAATAAATTAGATGAAAAAAAAAATCTTGATTTAGAGGGAAACAAATGCATATTAAACTTTGCAAGGAGGTGGATACAGAACACACCACACCATTATTTACACTGTTAACCACTCTGATACTGCTATATCAATTGTATAATGAAGCATGACACTATTGCATGTAAGACATTTTCTTTACTTGTTAAATATAGTGGTAATTGGAATTTAGCAATTAGAAAGTAAAATAAAAATCTGTTATTTAAAAATTGGGTTTCACTTTATTTGGATGGTCCCTTTAACACATTCAGTTGACTTAAAGGGTTAGTTCACCCAAAAATGAAAATTCTGTCAGTATTTACTCACCCTCATGTTGTTCCAACCCCGTAAGACCTTCGTTCATCTTCGGAACACAAATTAAGATATTTAAGATATTAAGATCGCTCCTGCATACAGTCCATGGGCTTCTTGAGGGACTGGCTCTTGCTGTCCCCGAAAAGTCATTAAAGACATCGTTAAAATAGTCCAAGTGACTACAGGGGCTCAATCTTAAGTTTATCAAATGACGAGAACACTTTTGTGCGCAAAAAAACAACAAAAATAACGACTTTATTTCAACTATTCACTTCCTTCTCCATGAGCCTGTAAGTCAGTTAACGTAGTGTGATTGCGTAGAGCTACGTCACACGTAGGCTCACTATTGGCCGACGCTGGTCATGTGTGTGTGATGCGTGTGACGTACAATAACAGAAGCTTACGCTATTAAACTAGTAACCTGACTCGCGCAGAGGGAGAAATAAACGAATAGTTGAAATAAAGTCGTTATTTTTGTTGTTTTTTTACGCACAAAAGTGTTCTCGTCGTTTGATAAACTTAAGATCGAGCCCCTGTAGTCACTTGGACTATTTTAACGATGTCTTTAATGACTTTTCGAGGACAGCAAGAGTCATTCCCTCAAGAAGCCTATGGACTGTATGCAGGAGCGATCTTAATATCTTAAATATCTTAATGTGTGTTCCGAAGATGAACGAAGGTCTTACGGGGTTGGAACAACATGAGGGTGAGTAAATACTGACAGAATTTTCATTTTTGGGTGAACTAACCCTTTAAAGTAACATTGCACCTACATCTCTACTAACTCTCATTAGAGTGTTAGTAGAGTATTAGTAGACTGGTAGTGTTAGGGATAGAATAAGTTGACATGTAGTTGCAAAGTTACTTATAGTCTGTAAAATGTACTGTATGTTGGAGGAGCATCACAATAAAGAGTTGGCAGATATTGAGCAGTCTACTAATACTCTAATGAGAGTTAGTTGACATGTAGTTGTAATGTTACAAAATGGACCATCAAAATAAAGTGTTACCAAATTTTGTGTTTCACAGACATACTTTGCAAATTTAATCAGGTCCGAATCTACCAAGTCTGTTTTTCCTCACACAACGTTTGTAAAAATTCTAGGGCAAATTACCTACTGTCTTATAGGTTAACTCAGTGGTCATCTGAGAAATCTAATCCCGTCTGAATGCAAATGTCTGTGATTGCTGACATAGTATTTTGACCTACTTGAGCTACCGTTTGCGTACCAATCTTTTAATTTGGATGGTATGGTCTGGGGTAGGGTCTGCGTCTCATATTAATGCTAAAGGATGCCAGTCACCTACATGATGCATTGGGTTCTGACGCTAAAGTGTGCCATGTGCGTAGTATTTCGACAAAATGTCATATGGCATCACCTATATGACGCCAAAGGATGAGAACGGGCTCCAGTGTCAGGTGAGATACGTCTAGATTTCGTTGCTCCTTATGTGGGTTTACTATAAACAGCCACTTCTTGTAAAGTTTACTTAAAGCTGCAGTCCGGAGTTTCTCCTATTTGTCGCCATCTCTGTTCGAAATCTGCAATTGCAGACATTCATGGAATTATCAATTTAACGTGAGTTGTAATTCGACACGGCACAGCGCTGATGTGATTCTGGCATTCAGAATAACAGATTACTCTTTTTGGAAGTATGACCAACAAAAGAATTTGAACCGGAAAATGTAATCTGAACTAGCAACATCCACTTTTGTTCTGGTTCTGACATTGCAGTAAATTGCGCTGATTAAATCTAACAATTGCTCATCATAGCACGCAAAACCGTTCAAATTATACTTTGTTCTCAATTTGTTAATGTTAACAACGTCCGCATTGCGTGACTGCATGTAATGTCTTTCCGATACGTAGCCTATCCTTGTTTCCGCATGGGTCCGGTTGCAGGTCTAAATACGGTTTTATAATCAATTAAAATTATATCAATAAATAATCAATTAAAAAAAAAAAAACATACTTCACATGACCTGTAATCCTCACATCTAGAAAACACACACTTTCTCTGTACATAAAATCACAAACTTTGAGTGATAAAAAAACTGTAACTCAAATGTCATTTAGAAAACTAGTCCTGTCAGAAAATAAATTTCTGAAAAAGATCATCTTCCCATATAATCCTGCTGAAATATGTGTATATCTCAATTATAAAGGTGAAATCTAAAGTGCAGCATACAGTCATTAGCTGAAGTGTTGGGAGTGGGTAGTAGCAGTAGAACAGAATAAGCCAGAGGGTCTTGGCTCTCTCGTTCTCTGTCTTGTTCTTTTTTATTCTCTCTCTCTCTCTCTCTACCCTCTACTAGACAGATAATGATCACGAGGATGACTCAAATTCATCCAACCACATCCGTGAGACCCTCGCCGTGACATACTGGTGCCGTCACCATGCCTGTCATTAAGGCAGACACAGTTTCATTCATTCTGACAGAGCGCCTCCTGCTGTGAATGATGACACCAAATGTGTGTGTGTTGGGGGCCAGAAGTAGCCTTGAGGAAGTGCTAACAGCGGGGAGTGCTCTCACTGACAGCCGTCAGTTAGCGTGAGCATCATCTCGGGACCCATGCAGTGTGACAGGGCCGGTCCTGCTGCTGTCATCGTCCGCCATGTCCGGCTAATGGGCAGAGACGTGAGCTCTTTTTAGCAGCAGCGCTAGAAGGCCAGTCAGAGCCTCAGTCATTTATCTAGGCTAATGAACTCTTCTAATAGCTGCGGGCACATTGCAGGAAGAACTTTGTGTGCGTATACGTGGGGTATCACTGATGTGTGCTGTGAGTGTTGTGTCAAGTGGGGTTACAGGACTTACGACGAGAAGGTACGGAGAGCAGACCAGATGGAAATGGCATCACAGCTGTAAGCAGAATCAGTGCTGCTTCGGTACACGCTGTACAAAGACGAGATTGCTTTTTTTTATAACTCTGATACTACTTCAAGAGCACAATATATTAACAGAACATAATGCAAATGTATGTTAGGACGAATTTTGTACTTTTTTAACGGTGTCTGGGCCTTTTTATATTTAAAAAAGGAAGATGCAGGAGAAGTAGAATGAAAAAGGTTCTTGATATTATTTATTTTGGACAAAATGTAACTTTTTTTAACTTGAGCACCACAAAAAGATGCAAATGGCATATGTGAGTGGAATGGTCAAACACATCTGTCTGGTACATCTGTTTACATGAAAACACTGGAAATGCAGAATGCAAAAACAGACTTTCACCATTCAGAAAGTGAGATAAAATCTGTAATGTACTATCAAATAAATGGGCTCTGGGAAAATGTACGACAGCCAAAGGAAAAGTTTTATTTTTTCATTTGATTTTTTTTTTCATAAAGACATGAGTTTGAATTAAAATGAACTATAAAAATATATATATATATGTACACAGCACAAACATTAAGATTCTCTAATATCAGTGTTGTTTTAAAATGAGGCAAAGTTCTCACATTTTTTTATATACTGCATGAAATATAAATGTATGTCAGTTACACTTAATTTTCCTGGTTAAATAAACATTACATAAAAAAAGAGAGAACAAATACAAATCTATTTTGTATTTTTTTCTATAACTAGTCACCATCAAGGTCTTTTGCAGCACAAGCGCCGATCTGAACGGTGTCTAACATGCCGTCTTTCTGTGCAAAAGCTGGTGTTTTTATTACAATAGAAGCATATGGAGGAGTGAGACAGCTCTCAGATTTAATCAAAAATATCTTCATTTGTGTTCCGAAGATGAACTAAAGTCTTACAGGGTTGGAACAATATTAGGGTGAGTAATTAGTGACAGAATTTTTATTTTTGGGTGAACAAAGTCAATTGGGACAGAGGAGGTGCATCTCCCACTGTAACTCCACCTGCGGGTGTTGCTGTTGGACACTGTTACTTTATAAAAACGACTGACTTTTACACTTTTTAATGTCACATTTTGTAATATTTGTGCTGTTTTATTTGATGCAAAACCGATATTCCGCATCTCTACAATAAGAAGCTATGGCTCTGATTGCGGGCTTGTAGAGGCAGCGTGTAGATTATGGGCTGCATTTCTGCATAAAGTGGCTCTTCTCACATTTGCAGAGGCAACGTGTAGATAATGGGCCGCAATGCATAATATGCGCAGGGAAGTGAGTAGATGGGAGATGCCCCTTTCTCTCATTCTCTTATGATTGTGTGAAAACTAATTTCGTATTCTTTATTGTTTGAGATTATAATATGAGGTCTATATTAATACACTATTTTCAGCATTTCAACTTGACCGTTTCTACTTCGATTGATATTTGGCTGCATTTAAGTTTTTGAGAAAATTAAATATGTACTCATCTAATCTTTGAGTTGAATGTCTGTATTAATATACTATTCAGCTTTTTCATCCAGACTGAGTTCATTTGTCCGGTTGATATTTGGCTGCCTTTAATTGAGAAAATTCAATATGCACTCATCTGATCTTTGAGGAGTCATTTAATTCTGAGGAAATAAATGGTAGTTCCCAGGGGAAAATGGAGAACACCTCATTATAGAGTTCTAGTTTCAGTGTCTGACTCGATGAAGGTGGGTTTAAGAGGGGTCAGTTTGGTTATTTCCTGCCGCTCAT